TTAAAATCTCACCTTGTCTCTAGTCCTAGTTACGTCAAAATACAAAGAAAATAGTTTCTACACATAGATGTGTCGGTGTGAGAGCTGAGGGCAGTCCTTGTCTCCAAACATGACAACAGTGAAAGACACATATATTACACATCACGAACATTATTATGCCTAGAGACGTGCTACCTGCCAATTGAGCAATTCGCTCTAGCACTCGTGAATGCATCGTAAAAGCTAAACCCATACTTCCAGGCTCATGAGGTAGTCGTTCTCACCAATCTCCCAGTCAAACACATTTTAAGCTCCATGGAAGTATCCAACAGGCTTGTCAAGTGGGTTATCGAACTATCTGAGCACAACATCCAATACGCTCCAAGACCCACCATCAAGGGGCAAGTGCTAGCCTATTTTCATAGTAGATGGAATTGTACTCGACACCCAGGCAGACCGAATGTGGGAAGTTTACGTAGATGGTGCAGCAAGCAAACACGGTACAGGGGCAGGAATCGTCATACAAAGTTCGTTAGGCACAATTCACGAAGTCGCGCTTTGATCCAAGGAGCTAAAGACGAACAACACGGCAGAATACGAAGCTGTTTTGGCAGGATTTCGAGGGTGAACGAGTTAAGGGCAAGAATGATATAGGTAATATCAGACTCATCCTTAGTGGTAAATACGTTAAATAGTGTGTTTGATGCCAAAGAGTCGACATACATTTGCCATGTTAAAGAGACAACTTCGGAGTTCCAAGTTGTCACCTACAAGGCTATAACCATCTCTCGCCAGAACAAAACATTCACACAGATGCTCTTTCAAAGTTAGCTATCGCAACAAACTTCGAAGAAGCTAAACTATTCTTAGTACAAAAGGAGGCCGCGAGTGTTGGCGAACCAAAAATAAACACAACGCAAATGCCCGATAAAGATGACTGGCGCACAACCATCATTGAATATCTCAACAACGGGACGGTGCTCGATGACCTGAAAGAGTCATGGGCGCTAAGACAAAAGGCGGCCATGTGCACACAAATAGGTCAAGAGCTCCATAAATGATCGCATGCTGGGGTATACCTTAAGTGCCTTGGTACATAAGAATCTCAGCAAATGCTAAGAGAGCTACACGAGGACATATTTGATATGCACAACAGGGCAAGAAGCCTAGAACGAACAATTGTGCTCCAATAATACTATTGTCTACGAATAAAAAGGGATACCAAACCATCATGGAAAGATGTCACAACTGTCAACTCCATGCACATCAACACCTCATACCAACGATATTACTACAGTCAAACGTAAGTCTGTGGCCATTCGCTTTATGAGGACTGGACTTGTTGGAACCCTTCCCAACGGCCAAGGGCAAGCATAAATACATCATCGCCGTCGTGGACTACTACACAAAATGGGTCGAGGCAGAACCACTGACGTCCATAACATTGTAGTAGATGATATGTTCCATAACTCTAAATATATTAAAATGGTTAGACATTCCTTAGTCTGTGTATTTGACCACAGAAAGTAGTTTGATTGCGCGGAAGTGATTGATCTATGAGGCCAAGTGAGAGAAATAGCGCGCTTTGCGTCTGTCGCATACCCACAAGATAACGACCAAGTAGAGGGGGCTAACAAGAACATATTGCACGACCTCCATAACTGCCTAGGCCAAGCAATGTCAATTAGTCAGAAGAGCTCCACAACATTTTATGGTCCTATCGCACAACCTACAAGGTCGCGACAGGAGAAACTCCTTTCGGCTTTATCTATGGCACATATGCAATCATACCCATCGAGACCAGTGCGCCAACGTACATAATCCAACTATAGAACAAAACAGAAAATGACGAGGCCAGGCAAATAGACTTTGAACTGGCGGACGAGCACAAAGAAATGGCAAGCATCTGCCTAATATCCCTTAGAGATCAAGTTTTTAGGCACAACTTCCATCCAGCACAATCTCATGGCAAGCTCACCTCTACAAGGGAGGGGCCGTACCAAATGTGTGAAGTGGTGGGCGCCAACACATTCAAGTTATCCGAAATGGGCGACCTAAAACTCCACAAACTTGGAATGCTCATAATCTTCAAAAATATAGACCGGCCTCTCAATTGTAATTGTAATTGGGTGCAATATGTAGATAGAAAGGATCATGCATCAACGCTTACGTCGACATCACCAAAACACAACCATTACTAAAGGGACAGAAGAAAGCAATGATAATACGATGTTGGACTACTCTCATCCAACACTGGATGACATCACTTCGAGTATCCAGTATCCTAAAATTGATGCCAACAATTTTGAAATCTCATCTTGGGTTTTAAACATGATCAGTCTTAATCATATGTTTAGAGGATTTCCACATGAGAGTCCTCGTGCTCACATCAAGAAGTTCATCATGTTGGCTTGTAACACCAAAATAAATAATGTTCCAGCGGACTCTCAAAACATGAGGCTATTCCCTTTCGATTTAAAATGAGTTGTCCTTGATTCGTGTTAGATTATACACTTTTACTCCCCCTTTAACTTGCAAAGTTTGATATGTTTGCACCGTCCTTGGAGCTATTTTACCCGGGGTTTGTTCGTGTTTTGTCATGTTTCATACCTAAGTAGGTAATCTTGCCATCAAGATTGAAAGTCGGACGAAAGAGGGCGAAAATAGAGAAAAATGGCTGAAAGTGCAGCGATCACAGTGGCAGAGAAATTGTCACGTGCGAAGATCGTGATGTCAACGCTCCAACCATGAAGATCGCATGGTTCTAGGAGAATTCTTGCAGCTCATGGACAATGTCAAGATCACGGTCTCCTAACTATGATATCAACAAGCAGCTCATGAAATTCGTTAGTGAAACGACAACTTAATCTCTTTGCGCAAAAGCTGGTTGATTCTCCATCTCTCGATAACATCGATCAGTGAGAGCCGAGTCTGGATTCCGTTGGGGTAAATCGCCGGAACTTCGGCTGAATTTCCACCATTGACGTCGATGGTTGACCTGAGGTAGCAGAGGAAATCGACGTCGTGAAGGTAAAATAATTAAAATTAAAATTATGAGTTTTTATGATTTAACGAGGGGCAATTGGTAATTTTACAACACATTAAACAACCATTTAACAAAAAATTGGACAGAAGATATGTTCATTATGTTTTAATACTATAAGGTTATGTTCGTGCAAAAAATTGATAGAGGGGACATTTGTTAATTTGCAATAGTAAAGGGTTACAAAATTTTGTTAGCCCTTTTTATAGCTCAGGTTCATATACAAGACCCAAAGGTTTTGTAGGCCTGCAAAACTCGGATCTATGGCAGATGAGGCTCCAAATCTGATGGCTATGCAAGAGGAGGGGTATTTTTGGCAAAAAAAAACATGCCTTGATCCTGTGTGGGTGTGCATTTTATGCCGAGTGTTCCCTATTCTCTTTCCTCATCTTCACGCGAATTTCCAAGCGACTATTAAGGCATTTTTCAAATCTCTAATGAAAATTCTACGGATCATAGCACATTTATTTTAGATTGGATTTCAAAAAAATTGCATAGAAAAATTAGTTTTTTGTTCTCTAGGAAATGATATCCATTTTTATATTTTTGTGAAGAATTTCAGGTCATCATATCACTGTTACACCACTAACAGTGATATGATGACATGACACTGATATCATAGTGATAATAAAATAATATCACACTGATATGATTGATGCAGTCACTATATCATAGTGATATTAATATCATGATTATAGTGATAATACCCTTGTTATAAGAACCGAACCGGATCAACGGCCGGGCCAGTAGAACCGTCAAACCAGTTATGATAGCGGTTCGGTTCATTGTTTGAACGGTTATTGATGGACCAAACGGTTTTCACGGTTCAACATAAAATCAGATGAACCGGCACGGTTTAAATGATCCACTGGTTCACTATTTTAACAAAAAATAATATTTTAACATAAACTAAGACCATCAAATCATAATTATTAATTTTATATATGCTTCCTCAACCTTATTATCGATTTTACATTGTCTACTACCAACTAGAACCGTAATTTTTAATTTGAATTAAAAAATATGGTTTCTTTTGTGAGATGGTTTGAATGATTTATTAGATATGTTCGTGATGATATGAATTTGAACTTGTTTATGGTCAATGATAATTTCGTTCTTAAATTAGTGTAATATACAAGTCTTATATGTTATATATCATTAACGGTTCTACCAACGGTTTTGTAATGGTTAACCGGTGAACCCTAAACCACTAACTTTTCCGGTTCAACCTCCGGTTCTGTTCTGAAAACAGAGGATAATACACATATACTAATATTATGATATGATATGACACTTATATGTTTGATATTATCACTATGATATAGTGATATTGTGATACTATTATGACATGACTTTGATATGATTGATATTATAATACATCATAGTGATAATATCATGATTTGACACTAATATAATTGATATGACAATGGTATATGCAAATTTCTCAAATTCCAAGTTACAACAAATGCTATATGATCCGATTAAGAAAAGTTGAAGATTAAAATAAAATAGTTGTTGACTGGTCAGTTGTCTCCCCCCTCTCTTCTACTTTTTTGCGCCAGACCGTCAGTAAAAGGAAAAAGGGCACACAAAATTACCCCTCTCTACCCCTATAATTTTTTTCATTAGAACTAATATGTGCCACTAGATTGCATTAAAACGAACAGATGGAAGATTGAGTTTTGCACTTATGCATTTTGCACAATAACCGCTATTATTTTGTCACAAATGGAATTCACCGGGCTATGGGAATCAATAGGCCAAAACAAACCCAGGCGATCCGATCCATTCACATGTATCTTCCTCATGAAAGTGTTTAGCCTGACACCGTGACGGTGTCAGTGGTCCGGTGGCCAGCGAGGCCTGAGCATGTAGGACCCGGAGAGACAAAGTGCAAATTTTGCAGGGCATTTCGGGGAAGGGCTGGCTGGTTGGTTCCCACAGACTCAGAACTCCATTTATGACCATTTGGCAATTTAACAAACCCACACAACACTTGCTGCCTGCTCTCTGCGATACTGAAACAATTTCTCCATTGCATGTTAGAGGCAAGAAAACTGATGGAACAGTCTCTTTCCTTGTGTCTTCTTTTTCCATATTTGTTGCGTTCTTCTCTTTCAGGGCGCGCCATTGTCAGTTTGTCACTCTCTCTTCAGTAGCATCAGTACTCAAGTAGTCAGCAATGGAGCAGCATCCAAGAAAAAAGCAACCAAATTAAATGGCAGTACCAATGTCAATTAATTTCCATGATTTAATTGACTGATTTCCAAGAACAAAAATTAGTTGTCACTCATTACTTTTGACACAAATCTCCTTTCCCTCCATTCTCCATTTCTTCTCTCTCTCTCTCTCTTCCGCTCTTCGTCTGTCCTTCGCCACCTCGATTCCCGCACCGCGCCAGATTCGTCGTCGATCCTTTCCTCCCTCTCTCCGGCCGTCGCGCGTTGATGGAGCCGGCGGCGGAGAATTGCAGCGTCAAGGTAGCACTTCACGTTCGTCCGCTCGTTCCGGACGAGCGTGCTCAAGGTTGCCGGGAATGCGTAGCCGTCGTCCCGGGAAAGCCTCAGGTAACCAACCTTCTGCTCAGTTCTGTAATTCCTTGATATTCTGTCTCACATTTCTGATCTTGTTGAGTGTGGAACGAGATGTATGGGGGGAATTTTAGTTGAAAGAGTTGGATGGAGAAATTTTGGTTATAAGTTGGAGTTTAGCTCAAAATAGTATATACTATAGTATAATTACGAGTTTAGCAAATCCAAGGTACTAGTGAGCTTGGCTACTGTTTCTTGACACTATTGGCACTGTTTGGGTTTGGCTATGGCGTAGGTCCAAATCGGTGGCTCGCATTCGTTTACATTTGATAATGTCTACGGTAGTGGTGGTTCATCGCCATCCGCCATGTACGAGGAATGCGTTGCTCCATTGGTCGATGGATTGTTTCAGGGGTACAATGCTACTGTGCTCGCCTATGGGCAGGTAATAATGCAGTCTCTTTCCAGGCTGAGAGCGACATTCACTTGGAATCGCTTTCTCTCAGTTGCATTTGACCATTGGTTCTGATGCAGACAGGATCCGGGAAGACTTATACAATGGGTACGGGAGCTAGAGATGGTTCCCAGAGTGGACTGATTCCTCAAGTCATGAATGCACTGTTCCACAAGATTGAAACGGCAAAGCATCAGACTGAGTTCCAGTTGCATGTGTCTTTCATTGAGGTAATTTCAGATTTATGGGAGACATTGTTTGTGGCGGAGGGAACTTGGGAGTAACCAGGAATAGCCTAGCATGGATATTATGTTTTTGAACCGTAACCTCATTACAGTCTTTCTATTTCGGAAATGTCATAAGAAGAGTGATAATCTCATTATAATCTGTACATCTCCTTGGGAAACAAGTTATATATTCTTCTGGTAAGCAAACAGTAATTTAACTAAAAAAGTGGATGCTTGAAGGTTCTCAATGAAGAAGTGAGAGACCTGCTGGATTCTGTCTATGTGGGTAAATCCATGGCTATCAATACTGGGAAGGTGGCAGTGGCTGGGAAGCGTACGATACAAATTCGCGAGTCCACAAGTGGGGTTATAACATTGGCAGGTTCAACTGAAGTTGCTGTTAGCTCATTGGAGGAAATGTCTGCTTGCTTGGAGCAGGGATCATTAAGCAGGTCCACAGGAAGTACAAACATGAACAATCAGTCTAGGTAATGTAGGCTTTTTCTTATGTTCTGATATTGTTTTGTTCAAGATGTGTGTTTTCATACTTGGCAATCTAAGCAAACAGAAATATTCATATTGGTAAACTTAGTATCAAATGATAGAGAAGGCTTTACCCGGAAACTCGTACTGTGGGAAAAAAAAAAAAAAACAATTTAATGCTTGAGGGAGCAAATCTGGTCCGAGTTCAAACCAACTGCAATTTTCTGCGTTACTAGGTTAACTGATGAGCTGGGTGCTCTTTCATGATTATGAAATAGCAGGGAGAACTAATTTTTTCTGGTCGCATTCTGCATGTTTGTTTGTAAAAGTCGGTCACATGCCATCTTCACAATCACATTAGAGCAGATGCGTAAACTCCATTCAGATTGTCCTGAAACCCCAGATGAAGATATGGGTGAAGAATTCTTCAGTGCAAAGCTCCATTTGGTTGATCTAGCTGGATCCGAAAGAGCAAAACGAACTGGTTCTGATGGTCTTCGTTGGAAGGAAGGTCGGTCTCATTAGTTGCTTCAACTCAATCATCTGCGCAAAGATTGCAATATCCATAATGTTTGTGTTTCTGCGCAGGCATTCACATAAATAAGGGACTTCTTGCCCTTGGTAATGTCATCAGTGCTTTAGGAGATGAAAAAAGGCGAAAAGGAAGTCTACATGTTCCCTATCGAGATAGTAAACTTACTCGACTCTTGCAGGTTTTGAATTTTTTAACCTTTGTAATTTTGTTTCTCTAAGACATTATCTGTCATATTTGTTGAAATTTTGTTGACCTTGGTGAATTCATCCGCCATCATCAGAGTTTTGTAAGCATTCGACGTATCAACTTTATCAGGACTTCAAATTTGATTTACTTAAAACATTGTTGGGCACAGAATGTGAACTCATTACTCTGGATGCAGGACTAGTAACGTAAAGATATTGCTAGTTCAGATGTAAACATTTTCTTTGGAGACGAAGGCTGGTATAACCATATGGGTCTTCTTGCTCATTCAGATCCCTTGGAGCAATAGTTATGTCACATAGTGTAGGAACTGGGACCATAACAATGACGGGTTCATGCAGTCTTGATCTAGTACCATGATAACATAATGATTATGTCAGAAGATATACCTTTGGATGATCGGTTTATTTTTCTTGTGCTCCTAAATTTACAATATTGTCTCAGAGACTATTGTTTCCTTTCCGATACTGTTGGTCCAATCAACTGTTTCCTTGCTCCCTTTTCTGACCTCGTTTCAGTCACTTTCTGACAAACTTTCCTCTCATTTATAATGTGCAGGATTCACTTGGAGGAAACAGCAAAACAGTTATGATAGGTAACCGGATCCGATTCTCACGTTATTCTGTTTTCCCCCGCAGTGATATTGGAAGTGGCTACTTTGCTGCTATCCTAGCATACATTTCCCATACCATGGACATCATATCGGTTATTCTTTCTTATTATTTTTTTGCTTACTTCTTCCAGCTTGCATTAGTCCTGCTGACATTAATGCTGATGAAACTCTTAACACTCTCAAATATGCAAATCGGGCCCGTAATATTCAAAATAAGCCTATTGTAAGTTTTCGCCGGTTGCGACTCAGCTATTCACCTTGTAATTCATTCTGCATGATGCCTGATACTTATCAATATGGGTTCTGAAACTTGAACTGCGGAGGGTCTGCATATTTGTTATGCAGGTCAATAAAGATTTAATATCAAATGAGATGCAATCTATGCGGCAGCAGCTAAAGTTGTTACAGGAAGAACTTTGCGCTCGCGGAGGAGGTCCTCCTTCAGATGAGGTTCAGGTATATGCTTGTGCATATCTTAATTGAATGCACATTAGTTGAGTTCAGGATAAGGGCCATTTCGACAGCCATAATCAGGCTGTTGGTTTCCGCAGGTCCTTAGAGACAGGATTTCTTTTTTAGAAGCTAGCAATGAAGCCCTTTCTCAAGAGCTTCATGTGTACCGGAGCAGATGTGCTAATGTACAGCAGTGGGAAATTGATGATCCGGTAATGGTGACCACAATTCAAACATTTTCTGTTCTGGTTCTTACCTTTTGAATAGTCTGAAATAATTTCTGGGTAATTCTTAATCGAATCCCTTGAGGTGATTGATCACGATGAACGTTGAGTGTTCATCTGGAGAAATTCTTGTCTCGGGTTGAATGTATCATGTTTGACTAGTGTTAACTATTGCATCGAGATTTGGGTTTGTGGTCACTCTTTTTCCAGTGTCAGTTTTACTTTAAACCTCAGTGTACCTGCTACAGTGCTACTATTAGAATCCCTATGTTGGTCTAGTAAGCATGCTTATATAAATACTAGATGCTACTTTTGGTTGTTGGACCAGGGACCAATTTGTTTCTATTTTGCAGGAATGCCATCCTTGTGGAAAACTTGATGGACATAAGTTGAGCTTCCAGAGTATGGATTCCTCTGATTGTCAAATGGATGAATCAATATCAGGTTTGTTCGATTGTCTTCTACTTTAATCCGAAAATTCAAGAAGGAAGATAAAGTAGCAGGAGTTTGCAGGAACTTTATTATGCTACACACTACCGACTATTCTTCTCCTTTTTGTCCATGTCACTTTGATTTATCTTGCCTGGAATCTGTAGGAGAAAGATCTACTGAAATTGATGAGGCGGCAACAGAGTGGGAGCATGCAATTCGGACGAGGTGCATGAGCAAGGAACTGAATGGGCTAAATCGACTGTTGGAGCGAAAGGAGGTTGGTATTGGTTTACGAGCATCACAAGAAGCGACAATGTATTTAAATTGATTGGAAATTCCTACAATACCTTGAAGTTATTGTAACTTGATGTTTTTGACCTGCTATAATAGGTTTTACAAGTCGCATTACGTAAAATACAATAGGCATTACGTAATGGTTACGTAATGGATGTTTATCTTACGCAATAGTTGAAAGATGTCATTACGGAAACCTTACGTAATAGACACTCATTTTACGTAATGAATATTAACCTTTCGTTACGTAATCTGTTAAATCATTACGGAAGACTTACGTAAGGCTTCTAATTTAACTGTTACGTAAGAAATAACTATCGTTACGTAACCTTTACGTAATAAATGCATACTTTACGTAACAGTTGTAAAGTGGCATTACGGAAGCCTTACGTAATGGATGGTCCTTTTACGTAATGAATATTAATCAAGTTACGTAATGTGGTAAGTCATTACGGAAGGCTTACGTAACACTTCTAATTTAACTGTTACGTAAGATATAACCTTCGTTACGTAACCTTTACGTAATGAGCGTGTATTTTATATAACAGTTATAAAATATCATTACGGAAGCCTTACGTAATAGACGATGCTTTTACGTAATGAATATTAACCTAGTGTTACGTAAAATGATAAGTCGTTACGGAAACCTTCCGTAACGCTTCTAGTTTAACTGTTACGTAAGACTAACAAGCATTACGTAATTGTTACGTAATAAACATTAGTTTTACGTAATGTGACCTATAAAACCTGCTATAGCAGGTCAAAAAAGTCAAGTGATAGTAACTTCTAGGCATGGTAGGAGGTCCCAAAGTGATTTAGGCATTCCAAAAAAGTTCTGGTCTGGTCACTGGATTTATGTTTTTACTTCACCAAGTACCTCACATGACTTCCCTTGATAGGCTCTTCGTTCACCAAATTAAACTCCTTAAAGAAGGCTATAGTATAAGTTCCCTATAGTTGAGGATAGCTATGCTTGTCAGCTGTTTGACTTGCGCATATTTCTGTCATGCAGTCTGAGATGGAACTTTTTGGAGGGTTTGACATTGAAGCTCTAGAGCAACACTTAAATAAGAAAATTGCGGAACTTGAAGATGAGAAAAAGGTCATGCAGATTGAGAATCTTGCTGCGGGGTTAGGAGAAAAATCTCACAAATTACTTGATGTTCATGAACAGAAAATAAAAATGCTTGAGGCACAGGTACGTGGGTTGTCTTCTGATCATATTAGTCTTGAAATAAGCTGCTGTCTTGCTAGCTGTTTATGTTAAACCTATTTGCTCTGTCGAATTCAGATATTAGATTTTAGAAGCAAACCAGAGAGCTATGTCGAAATTTTAAAACAAAAGCAAAAGAGTGATGAGGCAGCAATCAGGCTGCAAACTGAAATACAGTATATGAAGGCAGAAAAGGTTCACTTTTATTCCTCTTCTCAATTTAGTTTACATCAGTAAACTCTGTCTTGGTAGCTCTTCAACTGTCCAATTGGGTCATTGTAGGTGCAATTGCAGCAAAATATTAAACAAGAAGCTGAACAATTTCGGCACTGGAAGGCCTCCCAACAGAAAGAACTGCTGCAGGTACTTCACCTTCTCCCTAGTTTGCTCCAAATGGTCTTTAACTTTGCGTATAATAAACTGGGTGGCGGTCATATTAGAAATTTTGAACCAGATACTCTTGTTGTTGCAAGATCATTTACCTGATATGAACTATTTAGATGAGCAGTCAATCATTAAAGTCCAGAAGAACTATTCATAATTCTTTTGCCTCTAAACCTATTGGCAAGGAATAAAGGACACATTAATATTGTTCAGGTTCTCCAAAGGAAGACGGAAGAAGCTGCCTTAGCTACGCAAAAGTTAAAGGAGTTGTTGTCGGAATCCCTAAAACCTCCAGCTGGTAGGAACTTTGGTAAACTTTTTTCCCCTTCAATCTACTTGTATTCATATACTCGGTGGACTGATTATTTTCCTCTGCCTCTTGCAGCTGTTTTAAACAGGCATGGATCATTTGGACAGGTAAGTTTACAAGGTTGAGGAAGTTCCTTCAGTGAAATGCATGCTGCAACCTATATTCTTCTCTTCCTTTAGATTTTAGTATACTATCTCCGCGTGTGTTGATGAAAATAATTAAATAATAATGTGAATTGCTCACTTTCACCATTCAAGGTTTGATGTTTGATGGTGATGCTCCACTGCTGGAAACTAATTTGTTATGGTATTTGATCTTCGCTTTGTGTTCTTAGGGCAATGAAATGCAACGTTTGGTTGATCACAAATTAGAAGTGATGGTGAAAATGCATGAAGTTCGTTGTCAACATGAGAAGCAGGGAAAAGTGTATGTGATTGGCCCATCTGCCCTCTAGTAATCTATTGTATACTTTTTGCTGTACTTGGATTGTTGTAAGAAGTTCAATCCATTTTTCAGGCATGCTGAACTGGCAGAAGAACTGGGCTTGGAAAAAATGAATCAGCTTTCTCCTGATGTGCAGAGTCCAGGAAAAGCAGATCATAGGCATCCTAGGTGAAATTGGTTATTTGATGTTATGACATAGTTTTCCTTTCATGGGAACAATTCATAGTAATTTGATAGCATCCATGCGTTTTGGTCCTGCTATTGCTGGATTTGCTAACATGCTTTTTAAATACTTTCTGGTTCATTGACTTTGTTCAATTAGTTCGGCGTTGATGTCACCGAGTGAAAAATTGGAGCGAATAGCTTTCCTGGGCGATTTGTTGACCCTATCTTCAAATGTGCTCACTGCAATGTCTGCACAACTTTCTGAAGCAGAAGAAAAGGAGCAAGCCTCCATTAGTTGTGGACATTGGAGCCAATTGTGCTCCCTGGCAGAAGCCAAGAACCTTCTGCAATATACGTTCAATGCTGCTGTGGATGCAAGGTGACCTCTATTCCTAATAGTAGTTTTCCTCATCTGCCTTTTGCTTTCCCCACTGGTCTGGACCAGGTTTTCCCTTCCTTTTGGGGCAAATTTGCTTAGCCATATAACCAATCAATTGTGCAACTAGTTACTTTACGTATAGCCAAAACCAGAGCTGCGCATACTTATCACTGTTTCTGGAAAACCAGTAACCGGTTAACCACCCTGTTGCTGACTGCAGTAAAATAATTCTAGGATTACTTTCTCATACATGGATTGGCTCCTGCATATATCCACTGATCCACTCAGTGTACGGGCGTTTGAATAGAACTGGTTTATGGTACATGTTTGTGGAACATGTATATTCTTTCCTTAGGACTCTGAGGTTCTCTTCTGCTGGGAATGCAGTTATAATACTCTTTTCATCAACAGATGTAGGATGTGGGAGAGAGAAATGGAGATAAAGGACATTAAGGATCAATTAGTTGAGCTAGTGAAGCTGTTAAATGAAAGCGAGGCCCAGAAATTGATACTCTTGAAGGAGCAAAAGATGAGAGAACAAGCTGTCGCCATTGCCCTTGCAGCATCATCGTCAACTGTGGTAACTATCCATCTAATTTCGAGATTGATTATGCAGTACTATATTGCACTTGCCAATCTGAATAACACATGTCTGTGATTTTATAATTAGACTAGAAGAGAAGAACAACAAAGGAAGTTTTAAGAAAGTTATTTACTTTTAACGCTTGCACTTGGGGGGATTGTTCTGAAACAGTGTCATTCTCGGAGTTCATCTAAGCAGTATAATACGGAAGACATTAGTGGCCCCCTATTTCCAACATCACTGCCAACTTCAAAGCAACTGAAATTCACACCAGGGATCGTTAATGATTCTCTCATAGAATCAACTGCATTTCTCAACCAGACCAGAAAGGTAAAGTCATTGCTGCTAATTGCTTTTGAGTTCAAGCAATTGTCTCCCTCTGTACTCTATTAGGAGGCCTGAATAATGATTTGACTGCAGATGGTACCACTTGGACAAGTATCGGCGAAAAAGCTGGTAGCAGGCAGTGGGCAGAGTGGGAAAATGTGGAGATGGAAGAGGAGCCATCATCACGAGTCGTCGGTGCAGTTCAAGTGGAAGTGGCAGAAACCATGGAAGCTCTCCGAATGGATCAAACACAGCGATGAAACGATTATGAGAGCAAGACCTCTTCACCAGACACTCTTGGCTGGCAAGATGATATGAACCTCATTTCAACCAACTCAACCATTGTTGTGCACGCATCTGAGGTAATACTTCCCTCGCAACCTTGCATCAACTTAGACGATGGTCATTTGCAGTTGTACCATAATGTCTCATTTTGACATATTGTGCGGTTTCTCTTCTCATTTCTGCAATGCTAGTTTTGCTCAAGGCTAGGGTAAATCCGTGTCCATCCCAATCCGTTTTACATTCTATGATTGTATGATTGATGAGTTGTTCTTATTCTTTTGTAATTCTTTGTTCCTTTCCTGTCGAAGGGAATAAATGCTGGCATAAGTTATGTAAGCATAACCGTTGTTGTATCATTTCTCTGCTAGTGTGACTTTCCTTCTGAATTTATTTTGCCAAGGTAGAGAGTTGTTGCCCCCTGTATTTCTGTAAGATTCAATTTGTTAGTTTATCATCCAATTATTATTAGGGGAGGGGATTCTTATCGTGACTTGAGAGTTGAGATCATTGTGATTTGGAGAAAATAATCTTCGCTTTTGGTAAATGGTCGGCTGGATGTCACATTTACTTTTTGTGTACACATGGAAAGTAATAGATAATAGGAGAATTTAAAGAATTACAAAAAGCCAAAATATATTTCTATAGCCACTATTTTTACGTTTGTGACTAGGCAAAATTTTTGAAATGCACAAAACAACTAGAATTTTGATGGTTGTTTGACAAATCTAGGCATTTTCGTTACAAACTTTAATGGTTTTAGAGATTATGTCAGTTAGGTTAACAACACGCTGACTAAGATACCAAATTGACGCACACGTCAGCGACAACTCAGTTTCACTTGCCACATCGATGCCACATCATAATTTACTTAAAGATATTTTATTATTAGCTTCTTTTTTTTGCCAAAGGTGTTGTTGTTTCCTAGGGATGGCAATGGGTCGGGTCGGAGACGGATAGTGCATATCTGTTACCCTACCCAAAGTAGTTCGGGTTTTACCCATACCCACATGTGAAACGGGTAGAAAATTAAAACCATGCCCATACCCGTTCGGGTTTCGGGTATCCACGGTTATTCATGGGTAATGATTTCTCTTCATAACTCCAACCAATATGTTAACATTTACACGTATTCTCACATTACGTGAGAGGAAAAGTATGACAATAATTCACTAGAATGAAGAAAATTAATTAAAACAACACAATTTCATGAAAATATTATATTTATATGCTAAATATAAAATATGGTAGAGAAAAATAATAATTATTTATAGACAAAATACATATATCTCTGTATAATCGGGCGTGTTCGGGTTGGATAGTGAGAAATCCATGCCCACTCATTATCCGCAATATTCGGGTTCAGGTTTTACCCGTACCCACTATATGTCCTTCGGGTTCGGGTTTTACCCTACCCGATTAGGCCGGGTTCGGGCGGATATCCACGGTCACGGATATTTTTGCCATCCCTATTGTTTCCTCAAAGAGACTTCTCGGCATCGATGAAGGAGACTACTGGCCGTCGCAAGAGACGAGCATATCGATTGGGCTTTCTCTAGCGCGAATTAGCTTCAGATTTGGAGGAGATCTGTGCTTTCTCCGGCGTGAATCGCCTTCAGATTTGGAGTCGACGGGCTTGGGTGAGAGCTGATTTGGGGGATTTGTGCTTTCCTGGAAAAATTTCCTGTACGACGACGAAGGTGGAGGGTCAATCTGGACGATGATGGTCGAGATCACGACCATGAAATGAGGGTGTGAAACTGAGCCCCAAGATCATGGCCTCCATTGCTTCATTTATGATTAATTATGCACGGGCTTGTCTGTCCAACTCTTTTCAATCTAGTCTAACACGTAGGAGTTTTTTATCTAGACTCAATATAAGCACCTTAAGCTAACCAAGAGTTGATGAGTGATCTAGGAATCCGATTGGTGGACGAGGTGACCATCTCCTGCCAATCGAGAGCACTCCTAAGCAATGCTAGAGCGATGCGTGCATGATCATTAACATTTCGAGCTAGTGTGCAGATAGGTTGAACCTATTGGAAGGGTCTAGAACGCATCCCTAGTATCGTGAACTTGATCTAGGTTAATTGGGTCAAGGAATTGTGCTAGGAGGGTGGCTAGTTGCGTGACCATTGAGCTAGTCCCCACTTTAGTGAGTCCCACACCTTATTTTCTCAAACCCGACATTATGAACCATTTGCACAATAGACCTAAATCTAGGGCAAGGGCGATACCCCAACGTACCTGCTTTTATCATTGTTTTCTCTACCGTTACTTTCCATTTGACCTAAAAAAACAACCGTAAACCGAACGACTAGATAAAAACAAAATGAGAAGTAGCCTAGGATATCAAAACCCGTGGAATTAGACCTTGGTCGACCGCTATATTAAAAAGGCCATCTTGAGTTATACTTGGCTAAATATGGGTTAGTTAATACAAGCTGTGCAATCAAATTAATAACCCACACGGTGTAACATCAATTGTCATGGATAACAATTTCAATTCACTGGAGCAACGGGCATTGCAAGCAGAAAACGGTTAATGACGAGCTAAAACTCAATTGAAAGTATCGAAAGCAAGATCCTTATCGTCCGACATTTGTTGTCGTCTACCATAAGCTGCAAGGAATTTCCTCTACATCGAGCCTGGTTGAGACGTCACTTGAACTTCGGGGACGAAGTTATTCGAAGGGGGGAGGATTGATGCATTCAAGCATTATCAAGTAGTGTTATTGCTCTATTATTATTAGTTCTAGTCTCCATAATAGTTGTTCGTTGGATCATTTGAGATATTCGTATTAGTTTATGTCTAGAATTATTATTATTTATTGTGTCTTGTCTAGAAAGTTATTATTTACCGGTTGATTTAAGATTTGTTTATCTTGTCTTAAGGAAAAAAAGTTTGTAGGACTAGTCCTATAAATATGTACTTTGCCTCTATATTTTTATTATGAATGAGAAGTCAAATAATTTAGTAGAAATTAACCGTAGTTTTATCGCGTTTCCTTAATTTTAATAGAAGAGTTCAAGATTTCTCAAAAAGAGGATGTTATGTTCACATATTATCCTCTAACAAGCAACATATTCGCTTATTCCTCAAGTCTCACTGTATAGGAGAGCAAAATCAGAGGTATCTCCCAACCAGAAATATATAACATAATACTAAATTTTAAAAATGGGCTCATTAATCATGAGTTACTAAGATCAGTAGGATATGGGGTTAATTCCCTGAATATTGTTTTTTTTTTAATTTACCACGAATATAGTGGTTTACAAACTATTTACAGGAATATTGTGTTTTTTGGAAGGAAGTTGGCGACGGCGCCCGAGACTCAGATATTCGAGTTTTAAAGGGTGTAGATAGCGACGGCGCCCCAATCTCGAGCTTTGGCGCATTTTGAAATTTCAAAAATTAGAAACAGCGCCAAAGCCCGAGACTGGGGCGCCGTCACTATCAAGGTTTCTTTTTTTATCCCCTTCCTCCCTCCCCTCCCTCTCGCACCAGACCACCATCCACCTCCCCTTCCTCCCTCTCCACTCCTCCCTCCTCCTTCATCCTCCATTCCAGCGCCGAGGACTAGAGCGGCGACGCCGAGAGGAAGGCGGCAGAGCCCCAGTCCCAGGCGGCGGCGCGCGGCACACGGCGAAGGAGCTCCACCTACAGCGGCGGAGCTATGTCGGACGACGAGCAGGCCCCCGGCGGCAGAGGAAGAGGCCGAGGCCGGCGTGGCGGCGGCGAACGCTACCGGAGTGAGTCCTTGCCGGCGGCGACTTTTTTTTTTCGGCGACATTTTTTTTTATGTTCTAATATTTTTTTTCCAATTCCTAGGCTTATCGATCCTTGTTCGATGAGACCACCACCTACGACAATCGATACTGCTCCGAATGATCCGGAACTTCTTTGGTGGCATGGTCACCATCGGATTGACGCAGTTTGGGCAAATGAGGTAAGTTTTTTAAACTATTTCTATAGTTTTTTTTATTAGCTGTATAATAGAATATAATTAAATTAAATTACGAATAGAATTAAATTAAATTAAGAATAGAATTAGATTAAGTTACGAGTATATTATATTAGAATAAGTTTAGTTTAGATATATAAATATAAATATTAGGTGAATTGAAGGAATTGAATTAATATAGTTTTGTGCATTAATTATAGGCTGGTGATCGACCATACCACATTCGTCATACGAGCAATTTAGTTCGATACAATCCACTGTACCTGCCGTATCTCGTCGATGCCAGCTTGTCTAGTGTTCTGCCACTAGCCCCTCTTACCGGTGATCCGGGTTTGATTACTGCGCTCGTAGAGCGTTGGAGACCCGAGACATCGACATTCTACATGCCGTTCGGTGAGGTGACGATCACCCTAGAGGAAGTTGCGACACTCACCGGATTAGCGATCGACGGTGATGCAGTCATAGTAGACATACCAGACGAGGACTGGTCGGCTGTGTGTCTTCGACTGTTAGGACAGGCTCATACTGATCTTGGTGGCGGCGTCATCCGGATTACTTGGCTCAGGGAGACTTTCGATGAGCTACCGCTTTCTGCATCACCAGAGACGACAGAGCAGTTTGCAAGAGCGTATGCGCTGTCTCTGATGGGAGGTGTCTTGTTCTCCGATCGGTCTGGAGGTTCAGTTCACCTGCAGTATCTACTTTTGGTAGAGGATTGGCGCAGAGCGGGGAGATTTGCTTGGGGAGCAGCTGTGCTATCCTACTTGTACCGTGAGATGGGTAGATCGGCGCTGCAGATGACGGCATCTTCTTCACTGGGTGGTGACTTTGGTGGATGGTCCGCCTTGCTGATGATCTGGACGTGGGAGCGGTTTCCTCATACATCACCACTACATGCGGTGACGGGTGCGCAGATTACTCAGGACGCAGTGCCACGTGGCCTTCGGTGGCTTCCGGCCCACACCCGTCAGCATGGAGATAAGTTCTACTTGTACAAGCTGTGGTTTGACGAGTGCACGACATTCGTGGTTAGTATATAACATTTCGTTTTATAGAATAGTTTTAATTGATTTATTATAGATTTAGGAGTAATTATGTGACCAATCCTTGTGTGCAGTGGCGTCCGTACTTTCATAGAGGTCAGGACTACAGCGGTACTGTGATCCAGTCCCACACGTTTCGAGCAGTAGTTCCGCTGATCTGCTTCTCATCGCAGATGTGGCATCATCCAGATCGCGTGTTAGGACAGTTTGGGATGGTTCAGGACCGGCCTCATCCTCCATATTCCGCGGCTGAGATTAGATTTTTTCTTCGTGTGGGACAGCATGGGCCATCACGTGGCCAGCAGTTCATACAGGCAGCCAGCGAGTCGATTGAGTTGTGGAACTGTCGACATGAGTTCGTAGCGCAGACGAGCTACAGTGACGTGGAATTATCTTACCACTCGGAGCATCAAGAGTGGTATAGAGATGTCACTAGACGTTCAGGCACACGGAGAGTTGCTACACTTCGTTGGCCACCACTCCCTCTTCGGTTGCTCCCACTCCCACTTGCTTGGCCACCACAGGTTGATGCATTATGTCCCGCTTGGTTACAGTTGCTACACACTTGCTGTGATGAACTCTCCCTTGGCCAATCCATCTCGTTGTGAATTCGTGTTGATCTTGGCCTCCCCAGCTTTCTAATCATGTCCAGATTAGGATGGAGAGTAGTGTCATTATGCTTCTTCCAACCCTTAGGTTCACCAAGAGGAGTGAAACTTGTCCCATAACAAGCAAGCACTGTTTGAAGCTTGTAGACGTCGTTTACAAACCTATATGGATGGGCCCCCATTCGGTTGCAAGCTGCAATGGCATGAGAGCAAGGAATTTTATTTCCTTGAAATTTCCCACAAGTGCAAAATCCCGTCCGGTTGGGGTCGTCAAAGTGCACTGTGAGTGTGTTTGACCCCGTCATGTTGAAATTGTTGGGGGGAGTCTAAACTACATAGATGCCTTGACTTCGATCAAGAGCTGTCACAGAATGCCCAACTGCCTTTTGTGACCACGGCTTCATCAGTTCTTCGCACTTGGTGGAGTACTGTGAAGGACCACTCCTAATTTATGCTCCTGTCTCCAACCTGTACTTATCGAATTTCTCCACCAATCGCCAATAGGTATGTTGCACAAGAGAAGCTATAGGAAGTGCACGAATACCTTTGAAAACACCATTGATGCTTTCTGCCATGTTGGATGTCAAGATAGACCAACGACGCCCACCATTGTAGTTATCATGTGCTAAACTCCAACGAATCTTATGTTGGTCCACCCAGTTATCACATGAAATATTTCTATTAGTGGCCACCTTCTTAAATTGCTCAACTTGACGATCGAACTTCTCCAAGCGTTTTTCTCCGGCTAACAAAATAATCAACAACACGGGTTAGATAAATTCATGACAAAATTACCTAAAAATAAATAACCAAATTAAATGAAGAAGGCTTACCGACTCGAAATAGTTGCTTATACATAATTCTGCTTTTAGTCTTCCTTTGCAAATTGCTTGCATAGTGTCACATGCACCAACTCCACTCCCAACCTCTTCCGATGTTATTCATGGCTTCATAGAGTCCTGCATGTCTATCTGAGATGATGCATACATCATTTCGATCAGTCAAACCCTGAACGTGACGTATGAACCATGGCCAACTATCAGTATTCTCACTCTCCACTATGGCAAATGCAATTGGAAAAATCTTCTTCCGGCCATCAAATGAGCTCGCCATGAGTAGCACTCCTTTATACTTCCCAGTAAGAAATGTCCCATCAACAACCATGACGCCTGGACAATACTTGAATCCATCTATACAAGGTCCATAAGCCCAAAATACTCGTTGAAATATCGAATGACCTGGTTGAGTCGAAGGAACTCTTACCCAATCAATCACCGATGTTGGCATTTTTCTCTTGACCACCCGCAAGAATGTTTGCAAAAAATCATAGGATTCTTCCCAATTTCCATGCAACTTCTCCAATGCTCTTTGTTTCCCATACCAAGCCTTCTTGTAAGTAACTTGCATATTAAACTTATCTTTCAACTCGGCTTGCACAGTTAGAACACTCAGATTTGGTTGGGCACGTACCAAATGTTTGACGGCCTCAGATATCACGTCGACATCAAGATGGCGATGATCCGTCGGTTGAGTCGTACTGCTACAAGTATGCACCAACTCGACCTTTCTCACACTCCAATCGCCTCCCACATCTCGACATCCAAACCGCACCATCCAAGGACATTTGTCCTCCTTGTGCATCAAACATCTGATCTTCCAGATTGAAGGTGACGACTCCACCACGTTATACTGAAAGTTGCGTTGTAGTGCATAGTGCTTAATCGCCACCTGTGCAGCTTGTTTCGAGTGAAATATCTGCCCCTTGTAGAATTCTCCATCAAAACCACCAACAGTAGACCCTGGAATTACGCCATATGAATCAACATATGATAATTCCTCGTCCTCTTTATTACCCTGCAAGTAAAAATATGGAGGATAATTAGGTAGTTCTCCTCCCTCCCCGTCGTCGTCCTCCTCCTCCTCATCATCATCGTCTTCCTCATCTCCGTCATCACCGTCATCATAATCATGATCGGATGACATGCTCCATGTGTCATCACCGTCATCATCGTCTTCCTCTCCATCCCGATCCTCACTGAGCTCAGCATGTATCTCAGCACCCAAACAATAAGGATTTTGTGCCATAAAATTCCAAAGCACATTTAAGCTAAGCTATCATCATCGACAATAGGCATTGCATAATGAAATAAAACACCATTCTGCCATTCTGGAAGACAGTAGGTGAAACCTGTAATCACAACACTATCTTGTACTGTTTCGTCTCTAATCCGTATTCTCCGAATTAGATGATCACAAAGTTTCTGATAGTTCACCCTGGATGGAATAGTCATCTGGAAACTTAAACCACCAACAAAATGGACACCCAAATTGTCTTCTACTTTCTCTGATCGCCACCGAACAGCTAGTTCAAATCTTCTAAAACCACTACATTAAAAACAAACTCTAATTACTAACTGGACAAAATCATTATGATGAATACATGGAAAAAAATTACGACTCTTACCAGTTATTAGCCATCTTCCCAGCAATCAGACAGCAACACCAGAGCTTCTCTCAGAACTTCTTTCAGTTTTTTGGTGATGAAGAACCGAAGGAAAGGTGCAGTATATATATGATTGGGTGGTGCTGGAGTGGAAAAAATTGGCAGCGACGAAGCCCCAATCTGGGGCGCCGACGCTTTTATTTTCTCAAAAGCGACAAAGCCCCAGTCCGGGGCGCCGAGTTTTGTTTTTAAAAAAGCACCTAGCGGCGGCGCCACGGACTGGGGCTTCGGCGCTTTCAACATATCAAAAAACACAATATTCTTGTCAATAGTTTTAAAACCACTATATTCATGATAAATTAAAAAAAAACAATATTCAGGGAATTTACCCTAGGATATGTGCATTTCTTGCCGAATCCCCGTTGTCCATGATTTTGCGTGCTATTCGTGGAGATACAGCTCCACTAATATCTAATTGCCACGTTCTATTTATTGTATAAAACTATTGTATTGGTATATATATTGTAAGTCTCCAACTCTCCATAAAAAAAATTATATTGTAGTCGCAGCAGCAGCTGGGAGGTAATTTGTCCCCGTCAAAAAGGCACGTTTTTTTCCAATGGAAAACAACACAATGACCCAATTTCGGTTTTATATTATGCGATCTGGGAGAAGTACAAAATAGGTTACTTCAGATCCAAAACAGAGAACTGAAAGAAGGAAAAGCGACTTCTGGCTTGTAATTAGTTACTGGGTCGCTACACTTAATGCCGCTCCCAATAGCTCCATTCCTCCTTCCTTTCCAATCCTTCTCTCCCATCACTCAACTTTTCGTCCGCTCCCAATCCACTCATCAATTTCCATTTCTGCACATTTTAGTCCACTCTATAGAGAAACCCATCACCCTGCCATTTGTCCTATAATTGCTTGACCATCCCCTCCAACAACAAATGCCAACATTAGCTCGGCCAAAATATCATTTGTCTTCCCTTTCCCTGTCAAAACCAACAAACAATGATATATAATAATTAATCTTTTTCCCCCATCTAAATTATATTAATGAATATGAAAGCTATGGAGGAAGACTAGTGGGCCGGGCGAGAATGCTAAGAGTATTAAAATTGAATTAGGTTGATTGAAATGTAACTAATGCGATGCTCACATCTCAATTCCCAAGCTCCCTCTTTCCCTTTTAAAACTTCCTCCCTTTCTCTCCCTTCACCCGCAACATCAATTTAAAGTTCAAGAATCTTGTCAAAACGAAAACAATAGAAGTCAAGTCATCATAGCAACTTAAAAAAAAAGGGAGATGAAGAGCAACAACAACAACAACAACGGCAATGGCAACACAAAGCTCATCCTCCTCCATCCATACATCCAAAAGCAAGGCACCTCGAATCGGGTATGGCTCCTCGCGGTCCTCACCTTCTTCACCGTCGCCTTCCTGCTCACCTTGATCTACACTCGCGACGCCCTGGTCAGGTCCCCCAGATCCTCAATGAGATCTGTGGTCCCCACGGCTTCTTCTTCTTCTTCTTGGTCGGAGGGGACAGTAGCTGCAGGTGGTGGGGCAGCAGCAGCAGCATCGGCCGGTGCTGCTGTCCCACCGCCTCTCCCCACGAGCGTGATCAGCACGCTCGTGCACTACGCGTCCCGCTCCAACGAGAGCTTCCACATGACCCACCCCGAGCTCAAGTCGATCTCGGACGTCCTCCGCAAGTGCTCCCACCCTTGCAACTTCCTCGTGTTCGGGCTGACCCACGAGACCCTCCTCTGGAAGGCCCTCAACTACCACGGCCGGACCGTGGTGGTCGAGGAGAACCGCTACTACGCGGCCTACTTCGAGGAGCTCCACCCGGACATCGACGTGTTCGATGTCCAGTACACGACGCGGGCCGGCGAGATGGACGAGCTCCTCGCCTCGGCGAGGGAGCTCGCCCGTCAGGAATGCCGGCCCGTGCAGAACCTGTTGTTCTCGGAGTGCAGGCTCGCCATCAACGACCTCCCCAACCACATGTACGACGTGGATTGGGACGTGATCCTCGTCGACGGGCCCCGCGGTGAGGGAACCGAGGCGCCCGGGAGGATGATGTCGATATTCACGGCGGGAGTGCTGGCCAGGAGCAAGAAAGTCGGCGGGAAGACGCATGTGTTCGTCCACGATTACTACAGGGATGTGGAGCAGATTTGTGGGGATGAATTTCTGTGTGGGGAGAATTTGGTGGAGGCGATTAACGGGATGTTGGCCCATTTCGTGGTGGAGAGGATGGAGAAGGATAGCTTCCAGTTCTGCCGGGAACAAAATGGGACGGCGGCGGCGGCGGCAGCGGCGGCGAGATCAGGTTTGTAATTAGAGCAGGTTTGAGGAAATGGGGGAAGTTTGTCCTTTTTCGTATAGCTTGAATTCTTGTGGGGAGGTAAAGGGGAAATGTGGTTTATTTAAGATGGGTCTTTACTCTTTATTTCTTTTGTAACTTGTAAGTAAAGAGAATGTGAAGGAAATAACCGTCTTTCTTTTTTTGGGAAATGCAAAGCAAGGTCTCCTATCAAAAATTCTGGATGTTTTAACCTGGCTATTGGGAAAGTCTGTATGAAAAATTGAAAATCCATCCAATGAATGAAAAGATACAAATTTTACCTAGAAAAATCATTTTATGGGCATGATAAATAATATATTTGCATGATTAAATTATGAAACGGAAAATGAAAATATTATTAGCGTTACAAGATACTATACAAGGTGTTGATACTAGTATATATTAGTCGTTTGTACATTGACGTGAATAATTATCGAGATAAAAGCTCATGTTTGGAAGAATGTCATTTGAAATTATATTTATATTTCATATTAAAATTTAAACTGCATATTATTTAATTTTTTCTTGATGCTTTTAAATTTAAGTAGGATCGGAAACACGTTGGTACATCGATGTTAAAAGGGATGGAAAAAGAACTCCGAGTAAAGGTTGGGTGGTGAGGTCTCAATAAGTGGGCGATTAGTTGCAATAATTAGTCTTTGGCTACACAAAGAATATGCAGTCCAGAAATAAATTCAGAGTCAACTCCTCATGATTTGGCATTTTGGTTGATTCATTTTCCAGATTCATCCCTCAAAATAAATTTATTACCGATTACTCATTCTTAATTTAATAATTTCACAGATAGTAAAGCTTGGACAAACGGGTTTAGACCGACAAATGATATTTGCAGTTGGTATATTGCTTGTACTCTAATTTCAGGAAGAAGGGGGGAAAACGAAGAGAGAAACTTGCTACATATATCTTGAAAATGGTCTTCCATGCTTAAGGAAATATACACTGAATTACATCTATTCTTATGGATTTTCTTTATGAATTATTCTTATGGATTCCTTAAGAGCTGTGTGACTATGATTATCACTACGATTACGATTATTATGACTCTGCATAGTTAGGAGTTGCAGAAGAAAAAAAAGAAATGGATAAACAAATGATATAAGTGTATGTACATTCAATTGTTTCCCTTTCTTCCACCTTTGTGTGGATTCAGATTATGTCCATCGTCTTGTGGTTAGTAATCGTGAATAACCTGCCCATCAACTGTCACATCACCATCATCTACCATTTATGAGATGTTTCTAACTTTTTCCCCTTTAATTTTTAATGGATGGTTTTTCTCGCGTTTTAAGTCGAAATTTATATATTTTTTGCATAGATAAACCATATTAATTGTGCTTTTCAAAACGATATCCACTTTAATATAGTTTTGGAACAAAAAAATAATTGAGACATTTATTACTAGTCTATACCATATGGTATTGATTGGTATTTAATAAGATCATATTAAATGGTATGAAAGTGTACCATGGTGGAAGAACATACTAGACTGTACAATGGTTGAATACATGATAATAGAAATATACTAACTTTCATTTATGACTTTCAACATTGTGTACCACAAGATACCACTCGTATACCAGGATGGTAAGGGGTGGTATTTTTTGGTCTTGTATTTCCCCCCAGAAATTTGTAGATCCAATAGATCATGATAAACTCGTTCCTTATGCAAATATTTTCAAAAATGACTTAAAACGAAAATGATATCATATTATATGGAGTTGGTAAAGAGATGTATGAAATTTTTCAAAAAAAAAATATTAAAAATGGATCTCATTTTGAAGATCACAATGAACTCGTTCCATATGTGAAAAGGAAATCGAAATCCAAATTAGAACGAAGAAGATAAGAGCCGACTAAGAAAATTAGGAAAAATAAAAGACCTTTAGTTATGCAGCACGAGTTATGCACCCTATCCTAGACCCACCTTTGTGATTCACCTACCCAACTAACTGTGGACTACAATGGCATATAGGATAATCCATGAGTGAATTTAATTGACCCTCCCTAGATGTTTTATTTTTTCGGACGTGGAAACTCTCCCTACGGATAGTCCATTCTAGGTGAGTTTGGATAACTCGAGAGGGAGTCTAAGCGGGAATAGGATTCTCTGTGGTATAAATCATGAGTCAGCAAGCTTGGAATGTCATTCATCGGTCTATGTGTAGCTATAAAAAATAGAAACAGTCGTATTGAATACCAAACATCGAGTTTCACATGTCTAGAATCTCTATGATTCGCTAAGGGAACTAGCTGGCCACAGGAACGGGTTTATGGGGATTCATCGAATTGAAATGAAGTCCCCAGAACATCACTAGAAACGGCAGCCAGAAAAGAGAAATCAGGGCTTAGGCTGCCAATTTTGCCTCCATTTCTTCGTTCGTACCTGTGTCTCTCTAAGTCAGGAGAGTTACCATGTTGGCAGTGTAATGAACCTCTAACATCTTCCTATCACTGCTACTGAGTTCCATACCTTAGAGACCTATTTATAAGTCTTGGATTAGGGTTTGTAAGGGGAGAAACCCAGCCTTGACCTTTCATCCAGCCCATCAGAAGGGTTCGCCAAGCAGCTACTAGTTCATGATAAATTATGGACGCCTTCCCGACGAAGTTTGGCAAATTTCCCAAAATGGCAGCCACGACGCCGTTTTGAATTATGGGTCACTATTTTAGGCGCCATTTTGGGCCTTAGTCTTCTTTCAATGTCTTTCTCCAACAGTCAAGCCTCGATTTTCCTCAATGCTCCCAAGTGGGCTTTTAGCCTATTTTGACCTAAAAATGCAAAAAAAAAAAAAAAAAAAATTAGCAAAAGCGTATCATTGTAATAAAGCAGTCCTCATACACACTTTGAATATTAACATAGTAAATTCATGATATTATGCCAATAAAGATTAGAAATCAATGCAATTTTGATCATAATATGAGAGTTTAAAATAATATATTTCACGTATCATCAGAGGTCTGGATGTTGTATTTGAGAAATATTTAAAAATGATAACATCTTTTGAGTGATTTTAGGGTACCATTATATAATAATTTTGTGGATCGTAAATATGGCATCTCGGCTTATGTGAACGGCAACATAATTGCAGTAAACAAAAATATTTTGATTAAGTAAAAAAAAAAACCTTTTCACAAGATATAATTAATCAAAATAGTATTAACAAATTATCTTATTTACTTCTTAGTAAATTATTATAAAATAATATTTATCCCATTTTCAAATATACTTTTACCCTTACATTTTTTCCTTTCTTTTTTTTCATAAAATAATATTTTCTTCTATTATTTTATCCCTCTAAATATTCCTTCCTCCTCCAAAATTTTCTCTTCATTACTAAGTGAAAGTAATGGTGTTAGCCACTAGGGTGCGCATCCAGTTCGATAAACCTAAAACTTGAAATCCAACCGAATTCTTCCGAGCACGAAATTCAGTTGGATAGTAGTCAATAATCGGATTTTGGTTCGGAACAAATAGAATCGAACATTTGATTTCTGAAATGAGCACACGAACCCCATTGAACTTGGCCCCATTACCCATGAGGAACGGACCCAAAATCAAGTCTCCTAACCCTACCATATCCCAATTGTGACCTCTGGTCTCCCCCAACTCGGTCTTCTCTCTGTCTCTTCTCTCACTTCCCCTTGTTCCCTACTTCTTTCCCAAACTCAACCACCACCTCCTATGTTAATGTTAGTACTTCAAACCTCTCTTCTCCAATATGTCATATACGTCGTCTAGTGCCAACCGCTGCCACCCCACCAGCCACTTCTGCTCACTTCTGCTCATCCCTGTTACTGAGACCAGATTCAAGAACATTTCGAAGTTCAGTCAGATCCAAACCGAACCCAAAACTTGTTGGTTTTGTGCTCGCCGGATGTCGGTCCAGGAACATGCTCTATCTCGATTTGTAGTTCAGTTCAGTTTTAATCGAATAGATCGAATGCCACCTCTTTTAGCGAGTATCAAGGATTTTTTTTCCCCAACGTACTCTAGCTCTTAAAAAAGATTATGAAAGTACGATAGCTCTTATGAAATTTCTCAATCTACACATATTTTGCATGGATCGCTTTTCGTCATTTTGTGATAATGTTATCTTTCCATCCGGAGACGTTTTAACATTTGTGTAGTACTCATAGCTGGTTTTCAACTTTGAATTTATCATTGAACTTTATTGTAATGATGTTTTATCTTTTCCATCTTTTGATATTTTGACTTTCGCGTTGTACTCCTAGCTCGTTTTTAACTTTGACTTGATCACTGAACTATATTGTAATGCTATTTATACTGAACGTGGATTGCTGAAGGCAAAAGCAATCATAACAGATCGCTCTTGCTCCCGTCGAAAGTTATCAAAACTTCATCGCCTCACACATCAATGATCTATGTATAAACACGTTCCACCTCAGTGATCCTTGTCAATTATCGTGACCAATCACTTCCCTCTGTAGCTATGTACTCTCGGATTGCTTTTTCATACGCGATCAAGGTATAGATCGCTTGACACCTCAGCAATCCTTGCAGATCGCTTTTCCTACCAGCAATCAATATTTAATCACTTTTCTCTTCAACGATATTTCCATAGATCGCCTTTGACATGAGCCATCGATATAAGATGTACGATAGGTAGAAAAATTTCATTAGAACAACTATGAAATTTTTTTCCCCCCGGTAAAGAATTAGTGTAGCTTGGGAAAATTGTCCTAGTATGAATTGAATTACGAGAAACAACAGAAAAAGCAGATATGGCCTATGGGACAAGCAAGCAAGGGACGAACACACGACATCAGACTCAGAGTATCCAGCGGAGCGAAGTTAGAGAAATAAAACGGAAACAGAAAGAGAGAGGTTCAGCTGCTTTGTCCTTTCCCTAAATCGTCTTTTTGGGGGATTTTGGCATTTTGTCTTGCCTTCCACCTTTGGATCCGCCGAACATAACACAAATGGACAAGCACTGACCATTACTTAATTACT